TCCCAACACCACCCCAAAACCCCCACCCCCTTCCCTCCCGGCACCATTTTCTTTAAAAATCTGATTGTGGGACGTTCAAAAAGAGGATGTGGCCACAACAACAATTTGTGGCTCACATGGGACTCGACTGGATTCTGGATAATATTGGAAATGAAACAAGGAAACAAGGTATAGGAGGGTATACACGTTAAAGTAATTACAGGGAGGATGAAAATTTAAAGTAAAAATTTAGAATTAATAATGTAGTATAAGTTATATTATTAAATGCCGGGGAGGGAGTGAATGCGAGATGGTTGTGGGAGGATTTTAGGCTGAAGATAGGGGAAGGGAAAGGTGTTAAATTCTGGTGGGATTCATGGTGCGGGGAGGAGTGTCTAGCCAACAAATTCCCCAGATTGTATTTACTGTCAACAGGGAAAGGAAAAGAATGTCATGAAATGGGTAATGCGGAGAGGGACACATGGAAATGGAATATAACATGGAGACGGAAATTGTTTGAATGGGAAGAAGAAGCAGCTCGAGAACTAAAAGGGATGATTGAAAAAGTGAAGATCACACCAGGCTGCCCAAATAGATGGGAATGGAGGCATAGCAAGGAAGGCCAATATTCAACAAAAATAGCTTATCAAAGGCTTTCAATGCCAAGGAAGAACCCAGAGGAAGAAAAAATCTTCAAAAGGGTGTGGAGTCCCATCGTCCCTAGTAAAGTGGCCGCGTTTAATTGGAAAACATTGATGGACAGAATCCCAACCAAGTTAAATCTGATCAAAAGGGGAGTTATCAAAGATATGGCTGAAAGGAATTGTGTCTTTTGCGAGGAAGAGACCGAAGATGCTGACCACCTGTTCTTAAAATGCAGAGTAGCTAGAAGATTGTGGCAAGCATGCGCAAACTGGTGGGGAACAAACTTTACACTTCACAGAGATTGCTGGACAACATTTCAACAGTTTGGGACATGGACTTCAAAACCACACATTTCAGAAGGGTGGGACTGCATTTGGAACACAGTTTTGTGGACTATATGGATGGCACGAAACGGGAAGGTTTTTCATGACTCAAAGGTAAACAAAAGCAATCTTTTTGAACTTATTCAGTTGAGATCTTTTGCTTGGGTTAAAGCAAGGAAAGCTAGGTGTTATTTCAGTCTTTCGGATTGGATGATTGATCCTACTTCGTGTCTGTTAGTAAATTGTAGACGAAAGTAGTAATGATTTGAAAGATAGCAGTAACACTGAAGGGCTGGCTTTTGGTATGTGTTGTAAGGGTTTGAGTACCCCTTGTACTCAATTTTTTCATCAATGAATTATCCATTTGCTGTTCAAAAAAAAATATTATTAAATAAATTAATATATATTATTATAGGTCTTACAAAAATAAAAATAATTAATTATATAATGATATATTATATTATAAATTTATAATATTATATAAAATTATAATTATAATATTTTTGTGTAAAAATATTCTAAACTCCAAAGGTTGCGTGCCGTTTAATATTGTGGTATGGTGGTGTGATTGTAGGTTTTATTTTATTTGATTATTAGAAATAATTAATAATTATAAT